GAATTAATACTAACTCATTATTAGCAAAAAAAATAAATCTTTACATCAAGAGTAGTTTTTCCTTTAATAAAGAAAGGTGGAATGTGTATAATGAACAAGGATAATCAAAATTTGCCAAATGAGGCTAGTAAGACAATCCCAACAATTCACAATCATTATTCACTTGTCCATTAATCACAGGACAATACATACAAATGAAACTTACCTGAACGGGTGCAGTGGCTCATGTCTGTAATCCCAGCACGTTGGGAGGCCAAAGTGGGCAAATCATGAGGCCAGGAGTTCAAGACCAGCCTAGCCAACATGGTGAAATCCTGTCTTTACTAAAAATACAAAGAATTAGCTGGACATAGTGGTGGGCACCTGTAGTCCCAGCTACTCGGGAGGCTGAGGCAGGAGAATCACTTAAACCCAGGAGGCGGAGGTTGCAGTGAGCTGAGATTGCACCACTGTACTCCAGCCTGGGCAACAGAGGGAGATTCCATCTCAAAAAAAAAAAAAATGAAATAAAAAAAATTAAATGTACCTACATATTAGAAAAATTAAATTCAACCATGAATCCAGCACATTATCAAATGAATAGACAAAAATTCTATCAACAAACTTAATATCATTATCTATGAAACTCAAGTACTACTGCTTAAAGAGCATTTACGGAACTCTCACCTCAAGGTTTCCCGCAAAACAAGGTGAAATGCATACTCAAGACTCTTTAAGAATGAGCCACTGATAAAAACAATATACTTGTAACTTGTGTAACATTTCATACATTTTTTTCAAGCACTGCACCATAATTAATTTGCATCAGGCTTTCCAAATTAGAAAAGCTTCACTTATAGAACTTCTTTCCCATGGGAGTTTTCACATGACTTTTCAAGTAAATGTGAAAACTGAAAATATTCCTGCAGTTTCTAAACTATTAGAGTTTTAATCCTGTGTACGTCTTGTATTTACAAGGTCCAGCCAGCTACAGGTGGTGGCATTTTCATAATGTCCTTGAGTGGTATAGAGAAATGAACAATTCCCACATTCTGGACATTCATAGGGTTTTTCTCAGGAATCAGCTGATGTCTTCAAATGGAACTAACATATACATGAAGGCTACCACAAATTTAGATTCAAAGGCTTTCTCCACCTGAGTCTCCCAAATCTTCAAAAACCAGGAAAATCTGAAGGCCTGACCACATTTCCTACATTCTTAGGTTTCTGTGCATGTGAGCCTTTTCATGCTTATGAGGGAATGGGAAAGAGTATATGTTTTGCCACATTTCTTACATTCAAGGGCTTTATTTATTTATTTATTTATTTATTTATTTATTTTCTTTAATTTTGAGATGGAATCTCACTCTGTAACCAGGCTGGAGTGCAGTGGCACAATCTCGGCTCCCTGCAACCTCCGCCTCTGGGTTCAAGTGATTCTCCTGCCTCAGCCTCCTGAGTACCTGGATTACAACCATATGCTACCACACCAGCTAATTTTTGTATTTCTAGTAGAGACGAGGTTTCACCATGATGGCCAGGATGGTCTCGATCTCCTGACCTCGTGATCCGCATGCACAGGGCTTTCCCCCAACCCCCTGTGGCTTTTTATGTCCTTGAAAAAGAACTAAGACAACTGAAATGTGCCACCATGCCCAGTTAATTATTTTCTTTTTTCTTTTTTTTTTTTTTCTTTTTTGAGATGGAGTCTCGCTCTGTCGCGCAGGCTGGCATGCAGTTGTGCGATCTTGGCTCACTGCAAGCTCTGCCTCCCAGGTTCACACCCTTCTCCTGTCTCAGCCTCCCGAGTAGCTGGCTTTGAGCCAGCGTGCCTGGCATTATTTTATTTTTTCTAGAGACAGGGTTTCACCGTGTTGCCCAGGTTGTTTCACATTGTTTTAATCCGGGCTGGTTATGAACTCCTGGGCTCAAGCAATACACACACCTTGGCCTCCAAAGTGCTGGGATTATAGGCCGAGTCACTATACCCAGCCTCTATATCATGACTTCTTTCATGGCGAGTAAGATGACTGGAACGAGCGTAGTCTTTACCGCATCTCTTACATTCATAGGGTTTTTCTCCAGTATGAATTCTTTCGTGGAGGTGAGGGGAACTGAGACGACTGAAGGCTTGGTCACATTGTTTACATTCATAGGCTTTCTCTCCAGTATGAGTACTTCTATGGTTACAAAGGGAACTCAAATGACTAAAGGCTTCGCCACATTGTTTACATTCATAGGGTCTCTCTCCAGTATGAATGCTTCCATGGTTACGAAGGGAAGTGGGACAGCTGAAGGCTTTATCACATTTGGTACATGTATCGGATCTTTCTCTAGTGTGAGTCCTTTCACGCATCTTAAAACAACAAGAAAATCTAAATGTTTTCCCACATTCCTTACATTCCTAGGGTTTCTCTCCAGTGTGAGTTCGTTCATGTATTAGACAACAACCGGAAACAGTGAACGCTTTACCACATTGTTTATATTTATAGGGTTTTTCTCCTGTGTGAGTTCTCTGATATCTTTCTTTCTTTTTTTTTTTTTGTAAAATAGAAGTTTATTAACTGTTGGCCAGTGATTTCTTTTTTTCTTTTTCATTAATGGTTAATGTTTTTTTTAAATTTATTTATTATTATTATACTTTAAGTTGTAGGGTACATGTGCATAACGTGCAGGTTTGTTACATATGTATACTTGTGCCATGTTGGTGTGCTGCACCCATCAACTCGTCATTTGCATCAGGTATAACTCCCAATGCAATCCCTCCCCTCTCCCCCCTCCCCATGATAGGCCCCGGATCTGATGTCTTTCAAATGAATTGAGAAAATAAAACACTTTCCCACATATCGTATATTTATAACTGGATTTCCACTGTACATTATCATGTGTCTTCTAACACCTGGAACAGAAACGAAGAATTTCCCACATTGTTCACATTTATATTGCTTCTCTCCATATGGTTTGTATCCTGAGTGAGCCAGGATGTGCCTATTAAGGAGGGAATGATGTACAAAGACTTTTCCACAAACACTGCTTTCACATTGTTTTAATCCAGTAGAAATGTTCTCATTCAGATCAAGATTTGGAATTTGGCTGACTACTTGTCCATACTGTCTACCTTCTTTGCTTTCACACAGTCTCTGTACCACATGATTTCTGTAAAAAATGACAAGCACATTATTATTGGTTGGTTTAATAACTTTCTACTTACTAATAGGTCTTGGCCTTACACTGCAACCAATACCAAGGAAAATGCATTGTTATTATTATTATTATTATTATTATTGCCATGATTGAATTATTTGAAAGTAAATGGGTTACTACTGAAAACACAGCTACCACCTGCATGGCTATGACCAAATTAGTAACATTCATATACACAATTTTGTAGTGCTATTTTCAAGTAAACTGTTTTCCAAACACTGACTGCTACCTTGAAGTACGTTACATTTTGGGTGAAATTTTTCTAAAAAAAATAAATTTCAAGTGACTCTATTTGTTTTGATTGCTTGTTTTTAAGTTCATGACAAGCTAAGATTCCTTCAGAGGACTTTGTTTCCTCTTCTCAGTGCAAATTATCTTATATCTTTCCCAAGTTTTTCAAAGTGATGTTCAATATTCTGGTCTTTCCATTTGTTTCCTAAAATGCAGACCCACAAAATTATCATGAATTATTACAAACTACAGAAACATTACTAGATTTCATGTTCATTGTACACAGTGCCCATGCCTGATTTCTTCACCAAATCATTCCCTTGCCACATTCCAAATCACAAATAGCACTGATGATAGGGAAATACTTCTGTAATTAAGTGAAATGTGTTGTCATTCTTACCTACAGAAGCCAGGTTCCTGCAGGTTTCCTGCATCACTTCTCTGCAGAGATTCTTCTGAGAAGAATCTACCAAAGCCCATTCCTCCTGGGTAAAGTTCACAGCCACATCCTCAAAAGCCATGGAGTCCTAGAACATTCCACATATGTGGATAGTAGGACGGGTGAGACTGACAGCACTGGGAATCTATACTCAATCCATAAGCTGTTTACATGATTCTAAAATTTCCAAGCATTTATTCTATGACTTGATTGTCACAACTCTTACTCTGTTCACACATACTCCCTCCCACACAGCAGTACTAATGTGAGAATTGAACTATTCAAAAAGGCAACAGCAAAGTAGAAACACCCATCTCATTAGAGAATCCAGGGAGTAAGATGTGCTGCTAGGAGTTACCTTTTAACTTCACTTTGTACATTTCTAGTATCTGTCATAATAAAGTTCTACCTGATGTGCATAAAGGAGTTAATATTATCAGTCCTGAGACTACTTATTCTTAAAAATGTCTGCTCACAAAGTTCCATCTTTGTTTGTATTAGTAACTTACATTTTGAAAGGGATTCCACCAACCCAAGTAATAAGAATGATTCACTGCATCTAAATGGCTTATGCAATATATTTGCCAAAACTTTTTCTGCCGAAGAGCTATTATTTTCACTGCAGTGGTGCTTAGAGAACCAGACACCAAACCACAGTCTGAACACTAAGTGTTCAATGAGTTTCCCTGGTACACAATATTTTACATGTGCTGTCACTTATTAACTGGGGAGTTGAGCCCATTCCATGTGATTATACCAAAAGAGAGTAGGCTTATTAAATTTAATTGAGTAGTAAATAAAACCAATAATTGATATTGGACAATATTAATACAATAATTTTTCAAATTTCTGTTGCACAATGTCAAGGTAGAAAGGAATAAGAGTAAATACGACACCTGTTTTTAAAAAAGGACATTAATGTCACCACTTCCAGATGCTATTCCTATGAAATCACATAAATTCCCAAATCAGGTTTTTTTTAGGCAGGAAAAATTACTTTTTCATGCGTAGTAAAAATGACAAATGTCTAATGCTTTTTATTCATCTAAAAAAAGAGTGATGCCTGGTCTAACATACTTCTAAGATTTTCAAACGAAAATACTCAGGACAGCACAGTATTAGCAGAGAGATGAGCAAGCAGACCAATGGGAAGAAGTCTTAATGACCCAGCATTTAAATGAAAAGTTGATGAGTGATAGAGTAGGCACTGTAGAATAGAAAAAGAAATCACATGCACTTTAAAATATGAGGCAAACCAGGCTGGCATCTGCTTAGGAAAATGCACTGCATTCTTCTCTATTCCATGATCCATAATCAACTTATTATATATTCAAATATGAAAGATAAAACCAGAACACTTTCAGAAGTCACAGAAAGATTTTTTTTTTTTTACGAAGGATTAGGCAGAATTTATTTTATGTAAGAAAACAGTGATAAAGGAACAGACAAACTCAAACATATTAAAATTTAGGGAATAAAAATAAAATAGTGTGGGCAGGGCATGGTGGCTCACGCCTGTAATCCCAGCACCTTGGGAGGATGAGGTGAGCAATCATCTGATGTCAGGATGTTGAGACCAGCCTGGCCAACATGGCAAAACCCCGCCTTTTTGCTGTTTGTATTTTTTGTTTTTTGAGACGGAGTCTTGCATTGTCGCTTGGGCTGTGGTGCAGTGGCAAGATCTTGGTTCACTGCAACCTCCACCTCTCGGGTTCAAGCAATTCTCTTGCCTCAGCCTCCCAAGTAGCTGGGATTACAGGTGTCTGCCACCATGCTCAGCTAAAATTTTTTTTTGTATTTTTAGTAGAGACAGGGTTTCACCATGTTGGCCAGGCTGCTCTGGAACTCCTGACCTCGTGATCCACCCACCTTGGCCTCCCAAATTGCTGGGATTACAGGCCTGAGCCACAGTGCCAGGCCTAAAACCCCGTGTTTACTAAAAATGCAAAAATTAGCTGGGTGTGATGGTGGGTGCCTATAATCCCAGTAACTCGGGAGGCTGACACAGGAGAATCACTTGAACCCGGGAGGCAGAGGTCACAGTAAGCAGAGATAGTGCCACTGCACTTCAGCCGGGCTACAGAGCAAGACAGTGTCTCCAAAACAAAAAAACATAAAACAACACCAAAAAACCCCTCAGATATCCAGATAAGAGGACACAGATGTGTCCACTGTCATAAATTCTTCACCATGCTACAAGAGGGGAACTGACATTTTGGTGAATCCTTGTAAATCATCAATTTATCTATCACACTTTTATTTCACCAGTAGCATTCACAAAGCTAAGTCCTACAATTCCATTTGAAATTACCCTTGAAAAGAACAGACCTTTAAATCTTACTACACTCACTCTGGGGAAGAAATAAATATGAACTTTTAGCAAATAAAATACGTCATTTTACCTTGCTACTTTGGAAATAGTACCTTTATCTTTCAAACTGTACTGACAACATGTATCTTACAGTCAATGAAAAACTGAAACTCATATAAGCGGACAAGCCTTATCAAGGTAACAAACTCAGGGAGAGGCAGTGCTGACTCCAACACAGACCTTTCTAAGTGTCACGGCAGGCATTCTATCCCTCGGGACACCCATCCTGTTCAGTAAAGTCCTCAGTGACCACCTAGGAGGCACTGGCACTGCTCTTTGTCCTCCTGTGTGCCTTGAGTGCATTTTCATATTCAGGTTCTTGCACATCCTCTCTGGGGTGGGTTTTCCTTGTCCTTTGGGACAGTTTTTCTCTCTTCACAAATCTGAGACAATCTAGAGAGCAGAAATCATTTCTGCCTTTTCCTCTCAATATCAGCATCCCATTTGCAGACCGTCAATGTGTCTCCGAGGAATAAAAGCTCCGGCTGGAGGAACAGTTTTAATGACCTAGCTTTAATGACATTACGTTGTATTGTCCATTCATTTTAATGTCCTAAGATTTTAATAACCCTAAGGGGTCACCATTTTAGATGAAACTATACCAGGAGATTCCTCAAAGGCCAAGAGCATCCAGTTGCTCCCCTGAGAGACTCTACCCCCTACCTCAGGCTGTCCTTGGCGATGAGATGACCCCGGGGCTGATACTCACTAGACCCTCCAATAGACATGGCCACAGCGGGTATCCTGGATCATCCCCAGACAGTTCTAAAATGCCAGGACTAGGAAAAGACAGGAGGGTGTCTGAGGACACAACACCCTGTAAAGTTTTCACGGGGGGACCTCAACCTAAAGACATTTTGGTAATATGTACACTTAGGAAAGATGAAAAGAAGAGAGGCACAAAGATTTTCTTTTTATAGTAGTATGTCAGATGATTTATTCTCCGCTTTCCTCTCTTGTAAAATGTTTGGAAACAGAAAAATATGTTGGACAAGGTGGCTCACGCATGCATTCCCAGCGCTTTAAGAGGCCGAGGTGGGCGATCAGTTAAGGTCAGGAGTTCAAAACCAACCTAACCAACATGGCAAAACCCTGTCTCTACTAAAAATACAAAAATTAGCTGAACGTGGTGGTGGGCGCTTATAAGCCCAGCTACTTGGCAGGCTAAGGCAGGAGAATCGCTTGAACCCGGGAGTCAGAGGTTGCAGTGAGCTGAGACTGCGCCATTGCACTCCAGCCTGATGACAGGGCAAGACTCCGTCTCAACAACAACAACAAAATATATATATATATAAACATACATTTAAAATTACTACATGTAGATAGTATTTGAAGTCATGGGACTGACTGTAGGTAGAAACAAGAGAAGGCAAGGAAAGGTTTTATATTGATATTTATATATAATTATATAAAATATACATAATTATAATATATAAATATATCATATAGGCTGGGCACAGTGGCTTACACCTGTAATCCCAGCAATTTGGGAGGCCGAGGTGGGCAGATCACCTGAGGTCAGGAGTTTGAGACTAACCTGACCAACATGGAGAAATCCCATCTCTACTAAAGATACAAAAATTAGCCAGGCATGGTGGTGTGTGTCTGTAATCCCAGCTACTCAGGAGACTGAAGCAGGAAAATCCCTTGAACCCAGGAGGTGGAGGTTGCGGTGAGCCCAGATTGTGTCATTGCACTCCAGCCTGGGTGACAAGGGTTAAACTCCAACTCAAAATAAATAAATAAATAAATAAATAAATAAAACAAGAAATATATATTTATGTCTAAATATATAATTATAATACATACATGTATATGTAAATATACATTTATTATAAATTTGTTAATATATGAAATATGTTTATTTCTGAGACAGGGTTTGGTTCTATCACCCAGACTGGAGTGCAGTGGCACTATCATAGCTCATTGGAGCCTTGAACAGGTGGCTCAAGCGATCCTCCCACCTCAGCCTCCTGAGTGGCTAGGATTGCATGCACACACCACCATGCCTAGCTAATTTTAAATTTTTTGTGGAGACAGGCTCTTCCTTTGTTGCCTAAGCTGGTCTTGAACTCCTGGGCTCAAGTGATCTTCCTGCCTCAGGCTTCCAATGTGTTAGACGTGGGCCACTGCATCTGGTTTAATGCATTTTTTAATTTGAGAGTTTATATTATTTGATATTTTTAAGTACTGAATGTATTGAACAATCAACTTGCAGAATTCCTGAACAATGGACGGTCAGCTCTCATGTCCTGGTTCAAATCGCCCCAGCACACCACGGCTACAAACCTTTCAGCCAACTTCCACTTATGTCTCCTGGGGCAGGACAATGTCACTTGGCCAATCCCCACTAAGAGGGACTCTGGAAAGGCATGAAACTATTCTGTTTTCTATAATGGAACCTGACCAGGGAGAAGGCAGCTGGGAGGGCCAGCTGGGCCCTCCAACCAGCAGCGTCCACCATCGACCAACTGCCCTAGAACTACACCGTGCTGGGCATTTGGGACACTGTTATGAGCAAGAGTTTCCATTTTTCTTCTCATGGGACCTTCATGCTAGTGGCAAGAGACTTTTTTTTTTTTTTTTTTTTGAGACAGAGTTTTGTTCTTGTCACTCAGGCTGGAGTGCAATGGTGTCATCATGGCTCACTGAAACCTCTGCTTCCTGGATTCAAGCAATTCTCCTGCCTCAGCCTTCGGAGTAGCTGGGATTACAGGATTGCACCACCACATCTAGCTAATTTTTGTATTTTTAGTAGAGATGGGGTTTCACCATGTTGGCCAGGCTGGTCTGGAACTCCTGAGCCACTGCACCCAGTCAAGAGGGAGATTTTAAATCAATAGGGAGAATTGTGATGAATGCCAGAAGGAAGAATGTGTGTGACGGGGAGGGGACCTAAGTTATTGTCTCACATTTTAACACTTTCATAGGCAATAACTAAAAATGTAGAAGCTTAAAACAACACACACCTTAAAGCCAATTTTGGCAAGCTAGGAGTTGAGCCTATTTAAGCGGGTCCTGTGCTTGGGATCTCATGCTAAGCAGCTGGGCTGCATCCTCATCT